CTGTTTTGTGTCCCCCCCATGGACTGTTCCTCTGGACCGTGGCTCCACTCTCCCGTCCCAGGCAGGTCAATGCTCAATCGCCTATCTGTTCCACTATTGCCTTCATCTCTCTGTCTCTACCTTCAGTAGCCACCATCACCACCGACCAGCCCAGGAGTGACCCAGCCTACGCAGCTCGGCCCAGCTCTCCATCTCCTCACCTCCTGCTGTTGGTCAAACACCCGGCTACTACTCATCGACAGGACTATTTCCCTCTGTGTATTGTTACTCTCATCATCACTGTACATAATAAATCACTGCTTGCACCGAAGTCGGCTACCTGGGTCCGCCTCTTTCTCGTTCGCTCACTGACAGGTGCGAACGGCACATAACACCAGCTCTGTTACCTCTTCTACAAAATCCTTTCCTCTTAGCGTGACCTAATCTAGCTAGTGACAGACAGCCACTTGTTAGCAACCGCCATTTTAAAGATACATAAAAGCTTTCAAAATCACAAGTGGGCTATTTTCTAGCATATCTTATATTGAGGAACAAAATGTGAAAATGTATTGGCATTTTTTTATCAACAGACTCATCCAGGGTAACAGCCACAGTGATTATGGTTGAAAGGTTAATGAGATTAGAATGAAGTATGAAGAGTGACGCTCACCAGATTTCAGAGGCAGCGTGGGAGCACGAGGGCTGTTCATACAGTTTTAAAGCTCTTCTCTGTAATTTTGATATTGTCGCAAAGGCAAAACTGAACAGTATTAACCTATATAGCAAAGCACTTACAGTCAGCTGGAAAGAAAATTCAGGAAATTTGGCAGAACGGTTTCATTACTATAAAAGAAAGTAAAGGGTGGTGTCTTTGCAACTATCTTTATTTGCTGCTTTATAGTAAAATATGTAGGGTTGCAAATAATGATTAATTTCATTATCAATTTAAAAATTATTTTCTCAGGTAATCATTTTGTTCATAAAATGTTAGAAAATAATAACACGTTTCTCACAGGTTCCCGACGTGTATCTACTGTATGGAACTCTAACAAACAATTTATGATTCAGGGTTAAATCAGATTGGCTGCCTTATGACTCCCGTTATGTACTGTTTTCATGTTGCATATTTGTAGTGCTGAAAAGGACAAAGAAGAGTAAGAATGACCTCATCAATGCAGAGGATGGAGATGACCACTTCACTGACATCTCATCTGTTGGTAAGGATGAAACCTGACACACAATATCTGCTGTAATACTGCAAGTTGCTATACTTTTGTAACACATAAACTGCTGGTTCACACTGAAAGCAGTTTAATGTATTACACAGCTGATATAGCGATTTATTTATTTTATTAAAATACCTTAGTACCATTGGCACTTAACAAAATTAAGAATGTCTGAATCAAATAAATGTAGAATTTATTATCAAGTTTATTAATGGATGCACCCACTTACCATACACACTTTTCCAGATGTTCACTTTTCACTTGTTATAAACAATTTGTTCATGAAACAATATTAGCACTAAAGCACTAAATCATCTTCAGTTGTCCAAAATGCAGCCACTTTGCTGGAGGATTCAATTGTAGAGTGACTTGTACTGAATGTTTTTGGAAGGCTGATGAGGTAAAATTATCCAGTAATGAATAACAGCAAAAATTAACAGAACTGGAAAACACATAAATCTGTATAATCGTATAACCGAAGCATTTTTTCTGCTTTCCCTTTATCTGGTGACCCCTCAGACTTAACTTGAGTCTTGACCTCCCAGACGGGGATCACTGGAGTAGGCCAGTGCAGTGAATGTCCTTGTCTTGTAATAAATTGTACAAGGACAAATTCCTGAAGCACAATCCTTCAAATTTTGCTCACTAGAGGGTTTAGTGAGACTCCTTTCATGTTTCTGGACACTAGGACATGAACTTCATGAAAAAGATTCTGTGTTTCCATAAGTGGTGTAAAACTATGGAATAATTTAAATGTGGACATAAAAAAATAGTAATAGAATTGATGAGTTTAAACAAAAATATAAAGGTATGTGTCAATCAAGATATATGCAAGAACAGGCTTAATGATTAATTAGATGGAACATTGTGGGTGTGGTGTAAGAATGTTAATACTCTGTAATAATTCTTTAGTATACTGTGTGGCGTAGAAGATAATTATCTATGAATGTAATTATGTAGAATGTTAACACTCTGTAATAATTCTGTAGTATATTACTTGTGTGGTGTAGAGGATAATTATTTATATAGAGATATTGCTTAGGATTTAAAAGTTGTAAAATGATGTCATGGGGTAGGACTAGATAAGTCTAACTTCTTCCTACTCCGTTCAAGCATGTACTAGGTATAAGTAAATTGATATCGGATTATTATTGTTGGATATGTGTGAAATTACATGTGTTGACATATCAACTGTTTTACATGCTTGAATGAATAAATCAAATCAAATCAAATCAAACTTCAAACGCCTGCTACAACAAACTACACAGAATGCAGCCTCAAGTCTAAAGCTCACGTTAGCTGATTAATAAGTACAATTGTCAATCCATTAGAACACTCTGGTTACTACTAATGTGATTCAAAGCATTAATTTATAAAGCTCAAATTTCTCTGAAAATTAAAATCATTCATTCATTCATTCATTTTCTACCGCGGAGCCAATTCCGGCCAGCAATCGGGCGAAGGCAGGGTACACCCTGGCCAGTTCATCGCAGGATTAAAATCATATTAATTCAATACAAAAGTAAAATCATGACCAGGTCGCTAATGTTACCAAAACAAACATGTTAGCTTAAGATAGTAACACATCCTCTTTCAGACATTTAGTTGCCAAGAGCTCCTTCATGGCTGACTGTTTGACTACTTGCAGTTTGACAGACTCTACTAATCTACTTCGCTAGGTAACAAGCATGGCTAATTTACAGACTGTACTTTGACAACACAAGATAGAGAAGCAACAGAAAAGGTGTAGGCAGCAGAGTGTCATGGAGGGGGTAGTGTAGCTGAGAGACACCATGTCCTGTGCCATTTTCACTGGATTTATCAAACAGTGTGTAAAATCTTAGTTGATGTCCGTGCAGACTCTGTCATCCAGGTCATGGTAAGCTGAAAAAAAAAATCAACTGGACTTGGTTGTCCAGTTGATTTTTTTTTTTTTTTTTCTAAGTTTTTTCAATCTTAGTTGCTGCACCTTTAAACAAACAGCAAATCTGAATTCACAGTTTAATGGAAAAGAAGAAGAAACTGAGACTTCAGAATATTCCACTGGAACTTTTAGTAATCACAGTGTGAACTGTGACTGTACCACCACTAGTTATGAGAATCCAGTTGAGGTCCTGTAGCTGATATCATGGTATTTAACAGCTGCCTTAATGGGGGGGGTTAACATTCTCTATCCTGCTAGCTTGTATGTACATAGATCCCGTAATACTGAGTTCAGCATTAGCTGCAGTAGGTTCATATAGGATCATGTGATTAACACAAAACTTCCCCATGTCAGATGCACTCTGGGTTAAAAAAAAAACTGATGGATAGAAGAAGTACAGAACATAAACCCTGGTGGTCAAGGTTTTGTTTAACAAAACAGAGAACTTAACATTAAGAATGAAACTTTTTTAAAATTATAACACAATTGACACTGATTAATACTTTGGTAATTAGCTATCAAATGTAAGCCATAGACGTGACACAGATTCCAATGAAGCACTGTTGAGCATAATCATATTTGAAACAGGGTCAGTAATGATGTAGATCACCTGTGTGGGTATATGCCTCAACGTATTCTGTGTAGCTCAATAATTTTTTGCCATCTTGCCTTTATTTGACAGTCAGTGTAGAGAGAGAGAGGAAACATGAACAGACAGAAGGTATGACATGCAACAAAGCTTTGCAGCTGGGAGGGACTCAAAACTATGGACAGTTCTGATAGCAACTTCATGGGCCCTAATAGACAGAGGGAAAATATACTGTAGTAAGAATTAAATACTTTAAAAAAGATACTGTATATGAATGATAAAAACGTTCTAGTTATTAACAAAAGCACACTGTTTTTTTGTGAAGGGCTGTTTAATAAGAGATTTGCTTTTCTTCTGACAGCAAAATATGCATCAATAAAATGAACATACAGTAGATGGCTTCTGTGGGACTAAAGATGAAACGGTATGATGTCTAGATTAAAATAGACCAGGAAATAATTATCTCCCTGGTCTTCCTGTG